CATAAATGTTGTGAGTTGAGTGTCCTGGATCGTCACCACTGTCCTTCTAGTTAGACCCTCTAATAGTCTAACAGATTATCTCTAACAAATCATTTTCTATGGGGAACTGTTGATTTTCCAAAGATCTAAACGCTGTGAAAACTATGATTGCGTTTTTCAATGCAATGTTTTCCGCTGATATATGATCCTGGACTTCTGCATCATTTTCTTCAGTTGGTAAAGTTTAGCATCCACCTTGTGTGACACCACGGCTCAAACACAAACCCCCTGTAAAGAATCATTTAATCATGAGAAACAAATTGCATTATTTACATACTGTACTTGTGCAGATGTCTGTTCTGCAGTTGGAAGTCCCACAGTTAGATACATTAGGGTCATTAAGATGTGACCAACAGCTGCAAGAATCAAATATTCAAATCGACGAGACGTGGGTTATCATTTATAAACCACTCCAATTCCCTAGTCTCCCCAAAAACTTCAGTCCAATCCGAACCGTGTGAAGTATGGCTCGGCTCGGCCCTCTTTTTAATTCAGGATTAAGGCTTTATGAACATTTTTCAAGCACTAATTATATCAGTTTGAAATGTAACTTAAGAACCAAGAGAAGATTGTGCCAATGCCTTAAACAAGGTGCTCCGGTCTGCAAAGAGGACTGTGGGCTGTGAGCTTCCTGTTCTGGAGGTTCTTTATGACTCCAAACTTAAAATCATCTATGACTCTTCTTGCCACCCTGGTAAAGCCGTGTTCCAGCTTCTTCCCTCGGGCAGAAGATATCGGTCGCTGAGATGCAAGACATCTCGCTATGCTTCTTTCCACAAGCTGTTAGGTGTCTAAACAGAGCACTTTAATTGTTGTTTTTACCCCTTGTATCATTTTTTTTTTTTTGTCGATCGGTGCCACAGTGTCAGCTGTTTTTATTTATTTTCAGTGTACTGTATGTGTATTTATTTTATATTACATTGTATTGTGCCCTTTATTCTGTTGGTGCTCACAGAGTACCTTTTTTGCAAATGTATTCCAATGTGGTTTTTATACTGCACATGGCAAACAAAAATTAATCTGAATCTGAATGTATCTGAATCTGAGAAGGAGGATCTGTAGGCCTTTGAAAGGATCTATAGGCCATTGCCAGGAAAAAAAAACCCTATAATTTTAATTTGAAAGCAACTTTTGCACACAAAATATGTCTTTGTATAATGAGAATAGCTGTGAATATTTGACTGTAGAATTACAATCGAGTTATTGTCCTAATCACATGTATCTAGTTTTAGAAAGAGGTCCGTCCTGCAGCTGGAGGTCCCACTGTGGTTTTGGATTACCCTGATGTGGAGTCTAACCACTGCCATGCATCGTGTAAGCTCCTTTGAGGTTATTGTAGACTATGTAAATAAATGCCTCCACTAATTTGAATAACACCAAAACATTTCCAACATAATTTTCTGAATACGGGTCAGGCGCGGATCTAGGAACATCTCCAAAGTTCAACCCCAGTCAAAACTTCAATGATGGCGCTGCTATTTTAAACTGTGTGGACTTTATAGTGTTGTTTTCTTCCACACAGGATGACAGTTCCTATGCTGCCATGCTGTCCCCGCACCGCCCCTGTACCAGGAATAACAATGCATTATTCATATCCCAAAGTCTCGTTCGCAGACAAAAGTCGCCACTTGCATTTATTATTTATTGAAAATCGCTCACATGATGAAGCCTTTAACAAACAGCTCCCAGTAAGCGCTCAACCTTAATTTTCTTCTCTTTCCCTGTTTGTGTTTTGGCATAGATTTAAGTCTCCTCATTAGCTGGAGATGTGGATATGAGTACAGTGCAGAGGAGGAGTGAGGGAAGCAGACAGGATGGGAGGCCGGTTTGGTAAAGGTAGGAATTAATGAGGACTTTTAGGACACTCATTCAGGAAAAGTTATGAAACAAAGTGTCGGTATTTGTAAAAGTTAGAACGTAATGAATGTGCACCAGCGCGTAATCGTCTAATCATTTTTTGTTGTCGCCAGAAGGAGAACTTTCCAGGAATCCTCGCAAATGAGAAGATTTATACAAACTCCCGAAAAGAGCATTTGCATTGGACATATTTTAAGGATGCAAAAGCTTTAAAAAAAAAAGTCACATTTGTCACTATATGCTAATGTAGTCATAATTTATTTTAGCGCGCTGAAAATATTCCCGGCTACTCCTCCCATTTCTCATCCATCACGCAAGGTATTATCATTTCAGTGGTTTTTTTTTATGCAAGGGGTGGACTCTTGCATAGTCATTTTTGTCAAATCAAAAAATCATTTCTGATCTACCCAAAGTTGAATAATTGATGCTTTATGTAGAAAAAAAAAACAAAAAAAAAGAGTGGATTAATGATGGGGTTGGCTGGATGTTGGAGTGACATCAAACCAGAGCTCGAGCTTGTGCAGAGTGGACTGAAAAGTATTATGTTCTTGCTGCGGCCGTCCAAGTTTTAGGGATTAGGAGATTCTTGTTCGGTGCTGTACCTGCCACTTCTTGCCCACCCATGTTTTATAAGGTTGTCGAGCAGAGATTTTAAACTTTATATATAAATGCGTTGGTTATATTTGGACCTACGGAAGAAATGCATTTAGTTGAACCTGTGATGTAACTAGACATTTGATTTTTCTAATTCCTTGAGCTAATTAATTCACAGATTTTCATACAAATTCACATACAAGTCGTATTACAATCTGTGACATAATTGAAAACTTGAGCTCATTGATTCAGCTTGTGTATGAATTCAGGCCGTAAAAAAGTGCTGAGTAGAGACGTAACGTGACGCGCGCTCTCCTCCAATCACAAAATGAGGATTCATCCTATAGCCTCTACAGCGTTGCTAAAAACAGTAGCATGTTAGCAGAATTGGCTATAACTCATCTTGCTGTAACAACAGTGTGGAAAAGAAGAGGGAACTAAAGCAAAAAAACGATCAAAGAAGAAATAAATCCCGGGTGATTATAGCTAGCTTACATCGTATCCTCTGGAGAGACTTGTCTTATGAGAGAGACCTGTGGGTGCGGACGGCCTCGGGCTATCTATGCTCGGACTACATTCGGACGCAAAACTAGCGGTAATCTTTCAGTAATATATTTTGTTAGCAGTGCGTTGCTTTTGTACCATTGCATCAGTAATTGTTGTACAGCTTACAAGAAGTAGCGCTCATGCTAATGTTGGCATATAGATCGCGGATGTAACTAAATGGCTCCGTGGGATGAGAGCGTAGGGGAAATGAGAAGCCATTGAGCGAGTTGGGGGGCGGTGCTGGACATTCAAACCTTGCAGAAACAAGTATAGCTGATTTAAGTAAAAAAAACCTGACTGTCTTCATCTTATTACAAACCATTATAACTTTTGCATACTTAAGAAATAAAGAGCCCAGAGAGTCACTCTTTGACGCTTTGGGATGAGAGCTGATTGGTTCACTTTTCTCTCTGAAAATGTTGATCCACGGGAAAGACGCCCAAAAATGCTTGTGAAAACTGCGGTGATAGAACCAAACCATTTTGAGAGCAAAGAACAAATGATGTGGATTATTCTTATTCCATAGTCAAAACTCTAGTCGATTTCAAAACAGATTTAAAGGAACTCTCATAAACACAGTGTACTATGGAGGACGATTCACGGAAAGAAAGTACTTTTAACCTCTAATATTATTTTTCTTCTCTTTTACTCATACAACGCTGTTTTCTGTAGTGAGAGCCACATGAGTAATCTCGTGAATTCAACGCTCCATTGCTCCCACATTGCCTGTTTTCACCACTACCGGTGCTTGCATTTATTTTCCTTCATTGTTAGCATCACACAAGCTATTTGGATTGAGACAAATGCTACTCCCTACAGCGCTGGTATGCTTTCCTTTGATGATGCTAATGTAGACATATGTAAAGAGGACCACACTTAATCAATATGGCAATTTCCAATACAAAAGTCAATATACTCATGGCTGCTATAGATTATACAATATTCAATAGCATACAAAAAAAACACAATGGCTTTTGTAAAAATGAAAAAATATATATATGTGCGCTTATATGATGAGAAATGGCAATGGAAAAGCGTTCTGCATTAGTCAACAGTGCGGCTGATTGTTGGTTTGATGCTGGCCCTGTCTGGTGTCAAAGCTCCAATCTTAAGCACAAAGTAATTTTACGTACTTGCTATTCTATTATGCATTCGTAAAAGAGATGTACTGTGTATCCATTATCCATAATTCCTGCATCATACCGCCGTGACTGCATAAAGCACTTCTACGTCATGGTGCTACGTCCCTTAGGACTTCGCTAGTGGGATATCACGTGACCCCCAGGTCACAGACGCCAGAGAGATCAAAATAATTTGCTCCAATCACCAGCCACCTTCCTCTATAAATGCCCCTGCACAAGGCCGCACCCCCTCTTTCACTCTGGCGCCGTTTGAGATCTACATTCGTTACCTGAGAAAGAAAGATGTCTTCTGATGCACGTCCGAGTTCCCCTTCGCCATCCGGCGTCGGACGTCGTCGTTGCTCGACCTGTCGGGGCAAGCTCCAACGCAAGGACCAGCACTCCAGCTGCTTCATGTGCCTGGGTGCGGGCCATGCGGCGTTGAGCGCCACCTGCGCCTCGTGTGTCGCTCTCCCCAGGGAGGAGAGTGAACGCAGGCGCGCGTTCTTCGCCGCTACAGCGCCCCGTCCGGACTCCTCTAAGGACGAGGAGTCTGAGATTGACTGGGCCCCCCTCGACATTCCACCTGTGCCCGCGGAGTGGGGTGACTGCGAGGACGGAGAGGTGTCGGAGGTCGGCTCTCTCCTCACGCTGGACGAGGTGGTGTCCAACCCGGAGCCGGACCGCTTCCCGCTGGACCACATGCCTGGGCTCTACGCCACGGCGGCGGCCATCATGGATGCCCCCCTGCCACCGCAACCGAACCAGAGGGTGGAGGACTTCACCTCTGGGTACGCAGCCCCTCGAGGGAGGAGGAGAGCCCAGCCCACGTTGTGCCCGCGTATGGACCCGATCGTCCATTACGCGACACGTGAGTGGCCAAAACCCCTAGCGGCCAAGAGGCCCGCTTTGGGGTATGGCATGTACTGCAACGTGCAGGACTGGTCCTGGACAGGCGGGGTCCCGGACATCGAGGACTCGGTTCGGGCGGCCCTGCACCCCTCCTCATCCGTGTGGCCCAGCACCAGACCTCTCCTTCCCTCCGAGCGGGATAGGATGTCTCTGGCTATGCATGACAGATGTTACGCCAATGCGGCTCAGGTCGTCGCGGTGGCGAACAACATGGCTTTCATCACCGGGGCCCTGGATAGGTCTCTCTCCTCTGACCAGGCACTCAGTGGAGACACCTTTGCCCAGGCGAGGACCACTTCAGCAGCGATCTTGCGCATGTGCCAAGCGCTAGCTGTCGATGGCGGCCGCTCTATGGCAGCAGCCCAGGTCGGGGCCAGACACCTCTGGCTGGGGGCGGTGAACCTCAGAGAGGCGGAGAAGAGGCAGCTGCTGGACCTGCCCATCTCCCAGACGTCGCTCTTCGGTCCGGAGATGCAGACGCTGATGACGAGGCTGGACAGCGCGGCTAAGGACTCGGCTAGCCTAGCAAAACACCTAGCTACGAGACGCGAGGCCCGCCCACCAGCGCGGAGCCGAGACAGAGGCAGGGAGCGCTCGCCTGGCAAGCGCCCCGGACCATATCCACGCTCCGTGGTCCATCGTTCCCCAGCGGCGAGACCCCCGGGCCCAGACAGGCACACGGGAGGTTCGCGGGCCAACACACCCATCGACGGCCTCCCTACGGTAGAGGAGGTCGGGGTGGTAAAAACTCTTTCAATAAAGGCCGTCCGGCATTTCACCAGTACTCGCTGTCTGAGTCTCATTTGGGGGTATGTAACATGTCAAATGATTTGAATTCTGTTTGTGTTACTTCTCGAGCATATAACGTGGCTCCGCCAGGCCTGCAGCCCCCAGAGAAGGGCGTGCAGCGCGCTGTGCAGACCACGAGCTCCGATTCACGGGTTCATGTCTTGCCCTCCCGGAGAGAGGGCAGGCGGAGGGATCTGATAAGTGCTAATGTGTGTGCTCCGGGCGCTAGCGTGTTAGCATCTCTGAGCTACAAGGCTAACACGGGGTTTCCCAATCCAGGGGCTCTCCCCCCCCTCCATGAGGCAAGAGCCAAGGGGGGGCGCAGCAGCCGTGTCACGCGTGATGAGCAGAGCTACATTGCTAACACGGGGTTTCCTAATCCAGGGGCTCTTCCCCCCCTCCATGAGGCAAGAGCCAAGGGGGGGCGCAGCAGCCGTGTCACGCGTGATGAGCAGAGCTACAATGCTAACACGGGGTTTCCCGATGCAGGGGCTCGCCCCCCCCTCCATGAGGCAAGAGCCAGGGGGGGGCGCAGCAGCAGCCGGGTCACGTGTGGTGAGCAGTCCCGTACTTATGACGTCGGACCTGCAGAACACGTGACCGCCCTCGGCGCTCACGGTGTGACGCAGGGGCCCCCCCGGCCCTTTCAGCCACCCCCCCTCCCTGCTAGGAACACCAGGAGGGGGCGGGGCCATGACGTCTCGTGTTCCAGCTCCCGTTCCGCCCCTCACAGATTTCTACGACATCTGGAAGGAGCAGGGCTTACTGTCAGATGTTTGGCTGGAGAAAACTCTGCGCAGAGGTTACGCTCTGCAATTTTTCCGAAAGCCACCACCATTCCGAGGCGTACGGGCAGTACGCTCTCAGGTACGGGGATCGACAGAGGCACTGGAAGCAGAGGTCTCCTCCCTGCTGAGTCGAGGCGCAGCAGTGGAGGTAGACCCGCAGGACGCCACCAGGGGGCTGTACTCCCCTTACTTTCTGGTGCCAAAGAAATCAGGCGGGGTGCGTCCCATTCTGGATCTGCGCGTGTTAAACGAGTGCATTTCCAAACGGCAGTTTCGGATGCTGTCCACAAGGCAGCTCCTCGAGTGTGTCAGGGAAGGAGACTGGATGACATCCATAGACCTGACAGACGCATACTTCCACGTACCCATAGTGCCAGAACACAGGAGATTTCTGCGCTTCGCAGTGGGAGAGAGGAATTACGAGTACTGCCGTCTCCCTTTCGGGTACGCTCTCGCGCCTCGCACTTTTTCCAAATGTGTGGAAGCGGCTCTGGAGCCGATCAGACGTGCCGGGGTAAGAATATTGACCTATATAGACGATTGGTTAATACTGGCCCCATCCAGGGAAGTGGCCGTGAGCCACACGCAATGGGTCTTGTCCCACATACAGCGTCTGGGCTTTGTGGTGAACAGGGAGAAGAGCAAGCTGCAGCCAGCCCAACGCATGATTTACCTCGGTCTGCAGCTAGACTCTGTGATATTCCGTGCTGCATTGTCCGTGGACAGACGGACGAATATTACCCGTCTGGCCCGGGAGGTTCTGGCGGGCCCCAGAGTTCCCGCTCGGCGCCTCAGGTCCCTGCTGGGGATGATGGCAGCGGCTCATGCTGTGGTGCGGCTAGGCCTGCTCCACATGAGAAATTTTCAGAGGTGGTTCTCGCGCCTCAGGCTTCCCCCTCCCGGGACGGGGGGAGGCTGATCTGGGTTCCCCAAGGGGCAGCATCGGACATCAGGTTCTGGCTCACTCCGGGTCTACTGCGGGACGGAGTGACTCTGGCCTGCGCTGTGTCTCACGCCGAGGTGTTCACGGACGCGTCGCTCGAAGGATGGGGCGGGGTCCTCGGCCAGAGCTCTGTAGGAGGCTGCTGGTCGGACTCAGCCCGTCACATCAACCTGCTGGAGATGGAGGCAGTGCACAGAGTACTGCTGCACTTTGCCCCTCAGCTGCAGGGGAGACACGTGATGGTGCGCTCAGACAACACCACAGTGGTCTCCTATCTGAACAGGCAGGGGGGCACCAGGTCCCCCGCTCTCCATCGCATGGCGACGGTGACGCTGCTGTGGGCGGCGCTTCACCTCCTGTCTCTCAGGGCGCGCCCACGTCCCGGGGGTCCGGAACGTGGGAGCCGACAGGATGTCCAGGGGGGGCCCACTCCAGGACGAGTGGGGCCTGGCCCCACGGGTAGCCGCGGAGATCTGGCGGAGGTTCGGTCGTCCAGTAGTCGACCTTTTCGCCAGTGCAGAGAACGCACAGTGCCCGTCCTGGTTCGCCTTAAGGGCCGCGGACGAGCCGCCTTTAGGCGTGGACGCTCTGGCTCATTACCCATGGCCAGGCGGCCTGTTGTACGCTTTTCCACCGGTGCGTCTCCTGCCGGTCCTACTGCGGAGGATCGAACAGGAGAGGAGGTCGGTGATTCTGGTGGCTCCGGACAGCCCGCATGCCCGGTGGTTCCCCTTCCTGAGGGGCATGGCGGTGATGGAGCCCTGGGCCCTCCCGGACGAGCCGGGGGCTCTAGTCCAGGGGGCAGGAGCCCTGTTTTCACGTCCGATAATCGGCCGCAGGCTCTGGGTTTGGAGGTTGAGAGGCGGAGCCTCGTAGATCTGGGTCTTCCCCCTGCGGTGGTGGAGACAATTCAGGGAGCGAGGGCGCCGTCCACCGTGAGGGCCTACGCCACGAGGTGGAGGCTATTCAGTGCCTGGTGCGATTCCCGTTCCTGGGATCCCAGGTTTTGCCCGCTGGAGGGGGTCCTGGGATTCCTACAGGAGCTTTTCGACAAGGGGAGGGCTGTCGCTACCTTGGCGGTGTTTGCGGCAGCCATTACTTCAGGTCACGACGGGTTCGGGGGGTTCACAGCCCGCTCTCACCCGTTGATTAAACGTTTTCTGCGGGGGGCGCGCAGGAGGAGGCCCCCGCTCCAGAGAACGCCTCCGGTTTGGGACCTCAGGGTGGTCCTTAGGGGGCTGTCGGGTTCGCCTTTGAACCGGCGGCGGAGGCGAGTCCCGATTGTATCGCTTTTAAGACGGCCCTCTTGCTGGCGTTGGCGTCTGCAAAAAGGGCGGGCGATTTGTGTGCGCTCTCAGTCCATGCGTCGTGCCTGTCCTTTGGAGAGGACGACGGCATGGTGGAGTTGTGGCCCAATCCGGCTTTTCTCCCCAAGGTCATCACGTCGGCCTTTAGGTCGAGAGTGATCAGGATTAGGGCTTTCCACCCGCCGCCGCATGCCTCCCCCGAGGAGGAGCGGCAGCACCTTCTGTGTCCTATCAGAATGCTGAGGCATTACCTGGCCATGACGTCGTCATTCAGGTCGGGTGATCAGCTGTTTGTGTGTCTGGGCCCCAAGAACAGGGGCGCCCCGCTGTCGGCTCAGCGGCTGGCGCATTGGGTCGCCACGGCGGTGCGACGGGCGTATCAGGCGCAGGGCCTGGCCCCCCCGGTGGGTTTCAGGTCGCATTCCACGCGTGGGATGGCGGCCTCTACGGCCCTTCTCAGGGGGGCGTCGGTCGAGGACGTTTGCCGTGCGGCTTCTTGGGCGTCGTCCTCCTCTTTCGTCCGGTCTTATCTTTCGGATGTGTCGGACCGGTCGGTGGCCCATTCCGTGCTGAGTGCAGCGGATTGAGTTGGACCGTTGGGTCCCTCCCCTGAGGAGTGGGCCTTCGGTCTATTTTTCCGCCCTGGTGCAGGAGCTCTTGGGAGAGGCATCCTACAGGTGCGGTACATGTATGTGTGTTTGATCGGTCTGGTAGTCTACATCAGGAGCTCTTGGGAGAGGCGTCCTGTGACTACGGTTGACCTACGATTGGTGTTACGTGGGGGCGTCCTTGGTAGGAGTGGCCCGGTAACACGCTTTGTTTCTTCTGCCCTGAGTCCTCTCACGGTGTGAGGGTCTTGCTCGGGCGGAGCTCCAATCACCCTTCGCTGGCCTGCTGGGAGTACATGTTCCTACGGCCTCCGCGTTGTGTCCCACTAGCGAAGTCCTAAGGGACGTAGCACCATGACGTAGAATTAATAGTTACCTAATGTAACTTAAGTTCTACGAATAGGTGCGTAGTCCCTTAGCTACGAGCCCATCAGGCCAGCCCGGCTTGGCAGAGTTCAAGAGGGGGTGCGGCCTTGTGCAGGGGCATTTATAGAGGAAGGTGGCTGGTGATTGGAGCAAATTATTTTGATCTCTCTGGCGTCTGTGACCTGGGGGTCACGTGATATCCCACTAGCGAAGTCCTAAGGGACTACGCACCTATTCGTAGAACTTAAGTTACATTAGGTAACTATTAAGTACATAATATTTAGTTTGGCCCAATATACTTTACTTGGCAGACAGATCACACCAACTCAGCACGCATGTTTATGAGCCCATAGGATTACTACTATGGTAATATACGCTCCAACTACAGGGGCTTGTTTTCACTGCTGCAAAAAATCAGCAATGAAAATCGTATGTATCTCTGTCTCGATCCGCCCACACACACACACACACACACACACACACACAGACACAAACGCTCCATGCATCACCTCCTCAAATGAAGATAAAGTGTCCTCATGTTAAGACCACCTTTTAAGATGCTCCTCATTTGGGATGCAACAACAGAGCAAAGATGAATACAGTCGTCGGTGTGGCCCGGTGAGAGCGGAGCAGCCGAGCAGCTCTGACCGATTCCTTTTCATGATTGCACTGAAGGCTGCGCCGTATAGATTTTCCAATACAGCAGCACAGGGATATAAATGTTTATTATTATTACTGTTTTGCAGATCCATTTTAGCTCGTCCCTTATTCTCACCATTTCCAATTTGTGCTTAACTAATGATCTCAGGGATTGCAATGCGACAGGGTCAAGAGGTGCGTTTGCTTTTGCCGTGTGGGGGGAAAATAAGTCCGGTTTAACTGTGCAGATACAAAATAGTGCTGTTTATATCAAGGGAAAGCTTAAAAAAAGTGTTGAATCTACAGGAGTTAGAAGATTGCTGTGTGTGTGGTACAGTAAAAGAAGACAAAATGCCTGTAAAGTGTGGTATGCAAATCAGGCAGCAACGCAAAATGAATCGCAAACGTCTCATTGTCAAGTTCATATCCAAGTTTTATTAGCGAGACGCAAGCACTGGCTGTTAAACTTTTCTGCACGTGGCACCTCTCTTGTTTATGTTATTCATTCCAGCAATAGATTTTTATGTCAATATTTGGTCTGACTGTGTTTGGGATTGATTAAGAGATTACCTATATTAAAGTTTCACTCATCACTTTTCCATCCTTCCTTGTCATGAAGTTGCCACTATAGGGTTTCAAGCCCATTGAAAATACCTAAAAGATTGTCATTCTTAATTAAATTTTATTCATACTGTGATAGGGTAGGGTGACTTTCCATAGACCAGACTTGTACAGCTGGGGTAAAAAAAATTAACCCATCCATCCATTTGCTTCCGCTTCATCCGTTGCCGGGTCGTGGGGCCACCATCAACAATGTAATCAAATCCATTTCACTAAGATCTCAAAGTATTTCAGGTCTATCACCAGCTCTTCACCAGTAGGGGCGGGTCCCAGCTCAAAAGTGGCCAAAATGACGTGCGCTGACATGCTTGCAATACCACCCCGGGCCGATGGGGGTGGACCCAGAATAAGAATTAGCCAATGCTAACATATAGCATTGGCAGACCTCTCAAAAACGTCTTTAAAGGATGGACCAAAAGTTGGCTCTTGGCCCAAAGCTCCGTTCCACATGTGTGTCAATGCTGAGGGGGGGTGAATTTTTTTGGACCAGTCTAGTTTACTTGCTGTGAATTTTTTAAGTCTCTCGTTCAAATGAATGGAGCTGCGCCGGCTGACGCATGCGCGGATGCGTTTTTTCACAATTTGCTTGTGGGCGGGACCACTCGCGGCCATTTTGGATAGCTCCAGTAGAGCACATTTTTTGGCCCATTTGTTTGAACGGCGGAGAGAGAGCATAGAGAGTCACTCTCTATGCTCTTAGCCCATCACGTTCAGAGCAGTAGGAGAAAGGCAGCTGGTGGTTACTAATTTGGACTTTTTTTAAATTTGACTTGTTTTTTTATTATCTGAATTTGTCATTTTAAACAAGATAACATGTTTCAACTTCAACAAAAAACTCAACTCTGCTGGCACTTTATTATGTACCTTGAAATAGGCACACTCTTGTGTTGGTGTGTATGCGTGTGTGGGTCTGTATGCATCTACTTATACAACCATATTGATTTGACTGTATTATTATGATTCCATTTTGACATCATACAGTTCTTGAATTTTCCAGAATTGGCTCTGTATATAACCCCTACTTTACAGTTAACCCTGTCCCCAACATTGATTTACCAATCTAAATTCATTCCTTTATCCAGTGCCTAAGCCTAATTACAAATAGAATGTGGCTTTGGGGGCTTATTCCATTTATTCACAGTTACCTCTGCCGCTGGCCTCCCCCCTTCTGACGCCTACGTTTGCCGAAGACCACCACACAGGGATTTTCTCCTTCAGCAGGTCACGACAAAGGCCCCGGACAAGCCCATTGGCCACATGTACCAAAGACCTCTCCTCACATATGCACAATACTGACCAGCAGCACACATGGGAACGCACACTCGCACACATCAGCCATATTATCTTCATGAGGTGCCATAGTCCAGTGACCACCAACACAGGGCTCAGTGTTCTCTAATCCCCACTCAGGATGAATGGAACGGCCCTACGCATGCATGGATTACACTGTTGGATTAATGGGAGTTTTAATTTGAGTCATTGTCGGCACCGCTAATAAAAGGATGCAGGAAGGAGAGAGGTTGATTCTGTAAATGATATTATACAGTTACATTCTGTTAAATGATAGTAAAGGTCAGTTTATTCCAGTTTTTATATTAGTGCTACGCCAACATTGATACGATGAAATATATAATTTTTTCTGTTTTGTGGCTGAATAAAACAATGTATTTAATTTATACTAGGTGACCTTTGAATCTATTACAATAAGAATATAGGGAAATGTGACATTCCCATAATGCCTTAAAACATCATGACTTTATTTTCATATAAATAATGAACTAAACTAACTCATTAACGTATAATCAACTAACATAAAAGTGAATACAGCCCTGTTTAGCAGGTATCACAGCCTGTGAATGCTTGTTGTAGCTATGGAGGTTTTCCAGTTTGGTGAATCTTCCATTCTTCCTTACATAAGTCTTCAAGATTTCCTAAAGACTTCCAGATTTCTGAACTGTCTCGCACAAACTGCTGTGGCCTTTTTAATGGGACATTATGGGAATGTCTCCTCTGCAAAGTCTTGCCTTTTGAAGATCATGTTTGTCTTTCCCTTGCTTCCCTATTCACAATAATGTAAAAATAATGTGTGGTAAATTTTGTCCATTTCAAATGGCAACCAAGTATTACCCTGGTGCACCACAACCATTTGGATTTTCCAGAAGTTTCCCATTTGTGGCACCACCTGCATCGGAAAGCCAAATCTCGTCAGACCTCTGAAGCTAAGCAGGACTGGTTAGTACTGTGATGAGAGACCTCTGGGCACCCCAGGTGCCAGAGTGGGGCAGTTGCAGCTGAAAACTGCCAAATTGACGTTGTGTCCTTTGGCAGGACACTTCACCCACATTGCCTAAAATGAGTTTGGTGTGCGCATCAATGATAGGAGTCGTTGGGGGAGTTGATGGAAAGTACTGGTGTGCCCCAGAGGGCTGTGGCTACAGTAGAATCTTATTACCACTGTGGATGGAGTGAATAAACAATGTGAAGCTGATGCATTATTGTCATTATTATTCAAGTATTATTATTTTAGTATTGTTATTTTCTTTTGAGACCTGACAAGATCATTAAGAGGTCTTAATGCTGGAAGTCTTTATGTTGTCCACCAAGACTAATATGATCTCTGAATAAGAGTCAACAAATGTAAAATGAAGGGCTTTTCATTTCTGCGGATGTTTCACTTCAGCAGTTTTTTCTATTTTTGTTGCATGTTCGTGCACTCAAATTGAAAATAAAGTTCCAGAAGTCACATGGGAAATGACAAACAAAGAAGGTACAATCTATTCAACTCACTAAACAATGAAAGCATGATGAATAGTTGTTTGGATACAGAGCTGCTCGCTATTCAAAGGGAATAACACCATATATTTTGCATAAACAGAAAGACAGAATTACAGACTTTCTCCCTAAGTAGCCTTCTCCTCCTTCCCTCAAATCTATTCATATTTGAAAACATAGTACAACACATAAAGAAACTACCAGGTTATAAAATTGTAATTGGAATAATTATATTTCGCACAAGGTCGGAGTGGTGCATTTTAATTCCAGCTCACCGGGAAAGAGAATACAACTAAACCTTAAAAATCCCAGCGGCTGTTGATCCATTTTACTTATTAAAACACTGCTTAGCGCGCCCTTCAGAATCGGAATAGCTTTTCATAACGGCTGCTTTGAATTTTAATCAATTCTCTCTAAAGAAAAACACAGAAAACTTACAAACACACAAGGTAGGGTGTGATAAACCATGAATATGCCGCCATATCTTGCTGTGAAATAATTCAAAGTCTCGCAGGGAAAAAAAACAGCACCTGTATCAATTTGCTTTTGGCACTAATTCCGCTTCCCTGTATGGAAAACAG